TTGGTATGAGCTTCAAACCGTATAGCATAAACCATTGTACGTTATGATAATAAATTAGCCGAATTCTATTATCACAAAGTATGCCACCGCCGACAACGTAACAATCAAGTACGATCAATACGATCAAGATCAATACGCCTCGGTACCAATAATGAATTTTGGGATTTTGAGATATTGAATTTGGGTATAATTATTTTAACTTGCTGGAAATCTAGGAGGGAGTCCCCCCTGTACCCCTTGCAGGCGCTCTTGGGCACACATACACTTGTTTACCTGAGTGTGTATTAATTTAAATTATACATATTTCATTTCTGGAAATTTAATTTTAATAAAAAAACATTAAAATTTTCTGTTTTTTTCACAGCTCATTTAACTCATTCAAAATGATTTATCGTCAAAAACATAATAACCTTTTGAAATTATATAATATTGTAATATAATGAATAATGCTTAGTGACTCGCAATTGCAAACTTTTACTTTAAATTGTTTGGTTCCTTTGTTCGCATTATGTTTTTATTAAATTAAATAAATGATAATATTATGTCATACGATTGTTTAGATTTTCACATGAAAAAACTCGAATTAAACTTACGGTACCGCTGGGTATACCTGTATTATAATAATATGTAGTTCTTTGTTTCCTGCGATTTATGTATGGGACCGTTAAAATATATGCAACAGGTAGAAGTGCCACAAAATTAAATTATAAACCGAGAGATAAAGTATTTTTAATAACGTATAGTCGCATTATTGTAAAAGATAATATTGCGTTGGATTACGAAAAATTAAGTACAAAAAGTGTAAAAAAAAAGCAATTTAGAGGATTTAATTTCTTTTGCGTTTACCGATAAAAATAATATTAAAATTCGTACGTTTTATATTAGCACTCAGATGTCGTTCTTGGAATTCGTAAACCCTATGGAAAAAAAGCTGTCCTAGGATAATTGGGACACGTGCAACCACTGTTTTTTTTGAAAAGTTGAGAAGGTAAGATATAGAGGGAAATTAATTTGTATCTTTAAACAATGATAAACCAATGCTTAATAAAAACGATTCTGACCGGAGTTCAGTTGATAGCGATGCTTTTTCAACAATATATATGTCATATTATGGTAAAATAATTAAATAAGCATTGTATATTTTCTATAATAATATTTGTTTAACATAGTATTTTCCCGTTTTTCATACGATTTTCCTGGTTTTCCCATGTTTTTTCCCGGTTTTTCATATTTTCTGAGAAAACTCTAGAGAAGATCGAAAAATAACCTTCCTGAAGTACCACCCCAAGAAAATGTCCTTTCAGAAAATTGTCTACATCGTATACATCGGAGTAAGTTTTCTGGTAGAAAAAGTGTTCACATAAAAAAATTTAAAAAGAAATGACATCTTTATAAAACCATTCCGCTCCACTCAGAATCTAAAATGTCGGTCAAGTGGCGCGTTTAAAGGATGGACATCTTTTCGTCCCCAAGGATTTTTTTTTCGCTATTGTATAGTAATAGTTTTCGTAATATAGTACCATATAATATTAGTTACCATTAGTTATTTATTATCCCTTCGAAAATTTGTCTCGGATAAACAGCGTCAGAACCAAAATAAATGTGCAATAATATAATATTAGGTATATTATAACAATTCTATATGAAAATATTATAAAGACGATCAAACGAATCAAAAAACGATTGCAATTTCTGTTTGAGTTTCATTTCCTGTATATACTCGTATGCTTCTATTATTTTAAAGCGTACGTCTTTTATAGAATTTTAATTTTTTTCGTCTAGATGTAAATTTAATTTTTTTTTTTAACAAAACGCCTCCAGTAAAACCGAATACCTAAACATTTTTCTTAATCGATATAATTACTTCCGCGTGTCAAATTGTTTATTTTCAGAAAGACTATGACGTACTTATACTGCTTATGTGGGTAAATTATAATAATATTTTTTTCTTAGAAATATTTTTGTTTTTTTTTTTTATTGCACTTTATTCCTATGACGATTATTTTTTAAAAAAAATCATACAAAGAGTTTCATTTAATGAATAATACTTATTTTATTATTCAATTAGTACACATTATTATATTATATTATATATATATATATATATTTTGTAAAATTTAGTCAATTTAGAGTGTACCTCACCGTTATTGAACGTTTTGTCTTATTATTATTAGGTAACAAAATCAAAACCTGCAAGGATTTAAAGTAGAATTAAAATTTTAAAAATGTATAGAAAAATGTCCCGCTTTGAAATCATAAATTAAGACCGAATTTAAAAGCGGTATATCTCGCCAACGGGATGATGTATAAATAAAAGTACTAGTACCTACACAGGATGAGTCACTAAGCGTGCTCACCCTATGTTTTTTTTGTTAAATTTTAATCACGTTAATTATTATTTATATACGGAAAATGCAGTTACATTTTTGTCACTTTAATATTTTAGTATTCCAATTATCAAACAGTTAAGATACCATTTATACAAAATACTAATTACACTATAAAACAATAACTGAAGTATGTAACATATTTTTAAATTTTGTTTAAAAATGATAACAACTTATTGTTTTAAACTTAATTTAACTATCAAAATTATATACATTATGAAATTTTATTCACCAAATACATTTTATTGTCTCTTGAAAAGTTGTCATTTTTTACTTGACCGCCTTCTCACAAAAACCGTCCAATTATTAAGATGCCTGATGAAATTAACCTTTATTTCAATAAAATAATTGGTATTTTGACCTTTAATAGTAAATTTAATGCATTTATATTTTCTTCGGCATTCAAATTATATTTTTATGGTAAATTAAAGAAAGCAAAAACATTAACAAAAACATAACAAAAGAGACGGACATACTACGCACGATGGGTGCGGCGGCAGCCACTGTTGTTGGTGAGAATTTGGAAAGATAGGGTATAGAGGGGAGATTTATTTGTGTCTATAACTTGTAAGCAACGATAAACCATTGCTTACTAAAAACTATTCTGGGCGGTGTGCTCAGCTGATGCTTTGTCTACAATATATATATATCATATTATGGTTAACTAATTAAATAGGCATTAGATATTTTCTTTAATAATATTTGTTTAATAATGAACCGATTTTCCCATTTTTTTCTAGGCTTTCCCGGTTTTTTACATTTGCTCGGAAAACTCTTGGGAAAATGTTCACATAAACAAAAAAAATAATAGTTATAAAAATAAATATAGTTTGCATTACTGTGGTTTTTTTTTTTATGCATGCCCATAACAAAATATACAAAATAAAAATAAATTACAGTAGTTTTAGTTTACGGAGAATTAATGTAAAAATTATGTAACTATGGGAAACGGCCATTACTGCGTCATGTGTTGTCGTTATATGTTTGATTCAATATCAAATCAATATTTATACAAGTACAATAATAATAAACAGGGATAGTGGATACGCATAGTTACCTAGTCAGCATTCTATATAAAACACAACAAAAATATTCTTTCGATATTTTTTGATTGGAGTAAGATTTCTGGTAGAAAAGTGGTTTAAAGATAGTACAAAAAAAAAAAAAACCACACACATTACAGTAAGACCAATATATTCCCCGCTGAATCTAAAACTATTGAAATAAGCAAATAAGCGTATTCTCATTGATGCATAGTCAAACTTCATTTGAGAAATCTTGAATATTTTTTAAAAAACTATATACTCGTGTTATTGGAATCCTCCATCGACGTATTGGATAACATAATACAAAGGCGAAATTATTCAATAATCATTGTGATAAAATAATCTGGTTTTCGTTACTGACTTGCGTAATCATAAATTAGGAAACGTACGAAAAAAAAACATATAAAACACAATAAAAAAACATTTGTTTAAAACTTCCGAAACAAATAACAAAAAATAGTTTTAAAATTTCATATTTGAACTCGTAACATGGAATACATTTCCATGGCACTCCATAACTACGAATCAGTAGCGGATATATCCTAGTTCTGACTTCTGAGGGAAGGGGGAATATCGTACATTTCCAAAATGTCCTATATACCTAATAAAATTCTTAAATATTAAGTTGTAGATAATAATATATAATGGTGACAATATAGGGGTGATCCACCAATTGACCCTCCTGATATCCACCACTGGCAGTACGAGTAGATAAGCCAATGCTTTAAGTCCTGAATCTTGATCATTATGATACAGCCGATTGTCAATTTGTCTGTATGAAACGATAAATCAAAATAAACGAAAATTGATTCTGAGCGAATTCAGTTAAATATGTATTGATAAATTTAACATTTAAAACAAACAGAACAAAATATATTACTTAAATAACATAGTAAACCTATCTCACTTCGCTCAGTTATTTAGAAAAATGTATTAACCATTTACTGTGAATATGAATCGAGCGTGATGAGAAAAATTGTATTGTTAAGTATACGTATTTTATTGGGTGGCCTATATAAATTTCAATCTCCCGGCCTGAATTCGGTTCCCACTCTGTCTCTGCCCCCATTCCCCTGGCTACGCCACTGATGACAATATTGCGATATCGTGTCTCGAAAAACACGCGAACTCTGCAACAACATAGTATTCACAATCGGTCGGATGAATCATTTTGTCAACAATTTATATTAAATTACTTCTTTTATCGGTTCGAAAAAGGAAAACACATATAATAATAATAGATACTGCAATAATAGTATAAATACATTAGTGTACTATATAGCGTATTTAACGTAACAAAAAAATGAATGCGATTAATAATTTCAATAAAAAATTTCCCCTTCCCAATGAAATTCTAATAACATTTTGAATGCGAAAGTTTGGATGGACGGATGGATGTTTGTTACCCATTCGTGATCGAACAGAAATTTTGCACTGTTGTAGTTCTAGTCCGGCAACAACAAATAGGCTGTTAATTTCTATCGTGTTCGACCCCTAAAGTGGTACTGATACAGAGTTATTGGCATTCTCGGTACGAAAATCGAATTCATATTTTGTGATTTACAAGTTACCTTGGTGATACGGATGATAATTTGTCTATTATTTCTTTTGGCACGAACAACGCCGGGCGGAACAGCTAGTAATATAATAATTCACAAGTAATAACAATTTTTAAAAAAACCGTAAAAATAAACTGATGAACATATTATTCATTCGCACATTTCAACTAAAAATAAATTGTTTTATTTGCAACGATTCACATTGATCGGGTAAAATACACTTTTCCCGGTGTTCCACATTGCCCGTAATATATTATAAAGTTAAAAAATCAATAATCGTTTTCCGAGGCCCAAAAATAATTGTAACAAACACGTATTCAATATAATACGGGGTGATTTTTTTTTTATCAAGAACCAGCAATTTTTTTGGATTATTTTAAGTGAATTTGATTTATGTATTTTTTTTTAATCATTATGGAATCCTTTAAGCTTTATTTTAAAAACCACTTTTAATATTTTACCCCTACCCCATATACTTTTAATAATTATATCTTTTTGTTTTTCAGATAGGAATCCCCCCCCTTTTTAAACACAGATTTGAATAGAGAATATTTCTCTAGACATTTTGGTATGCATAATACTAATATCAGATTTACCATTTATAAATTATAATCGTTTAAATTGTAGACTGGAGGAGTAGGGAAGGATAATAAATTGCATTATTGCACCTGCACTCTACCTCTAATACCCAATGATATTTCAGAAAATGTCTGTTGAATTTCCCCCGGAAATAGAATCCATTACACTGTATTGTGTAATGGTCTAGATACACGGTGGTAATATGGTCTAGATACACGTGCATATCTTTTACTCGGTACTACTCTTGAACCCTTTTAGCGGTTATAGCCGGTATAAGCATCAAGAATGTGCCTTTTGGGGGTTTCAAATTTCATATCACCTCCCCTACACGATTTATATGCTCGTATTTCATGTTTTTACAGGAAATTCCGGGTTTTACATACCCCTATAGACTCATTAAAGTAAGGAACAGGGTTGAAATGTATATACATATATATTATTATTATTATATATATAATTAGATAAATAGCATTATTATCAAAGATGATGTGCTTTAAAAGGTTTCAATTCTCATACCCCCCGCTTACACAATCTGTTTTTATGTGAGCGAAAATCTAGCGAGATACCCGTTTTGAAGACATTTTTTGTTCAAATACTTATCATTACAGAGGAGTTCTTTTTAAAAACTACAGTGGGAAGGGATATTATACTGTGAAATAAGGTAAGGAGAAGGGCTAACCATGGTCAAGAAGTGTCTGGTGAACTATTCATTCAGGGGCGTAATTTAGGGGTAATTTTGCTGAAAATCGTACACAAGCTATTTCAAAACAAGTTTTACCGAACTTCGCTCAGAATAATTTTTCATTAACAAAGATTTATCAACGAGTGCAAGTATGAATTAAATCAGATACCTACCTCCTAACTTACCATATCTATAAAATGGCACTCCCGTTGGCAGTATGGGCTCTTAAAATCGCTTACGTTCCGGATTTCTCAGTCCGAGATTTTACACTTTCCGGAATATTACGTTCCTGATCTTTGTAGCCCTCCCGGCTCCCGTTCGCCGAGTTATAATGTCATTTGTTACCGTATTGAAATGCACAGATTACTGGTGTTTTTTATTCTCGTGTACCTAAATTAAATTTTTTTTTTTTCAAGTAAATACATACGAGTCATTTACAATAAAAGTGAACATATTGCATAATATTATTGTCATTACAAACGTTATGTATATTATAAAATACCGCAATAATGTTAGTAATAGTTGTATAGAACATATCGAAATAGAATACCGTATTAATAATCGATATACCGTTATAATAGGTTAAAATTATTTTTACCTAATAATACCTTGGTCAAATAAAATGTTCGATATCTGTCAGATAATGTAAATATTAATGTGTGTACACAATAATTCTAAAATTATTAATAATTTTGGGTCACATACTTCAATACATATTATATAGTATGTACACAATTATTTTGCACGTACTTTAAAAGATATAACTTAAATATTTTTGTACGTATGTATACATATTTTTATTTTTATTAATTAATTTTTTTAATTTTTTTTGATATTTTGAAGATCGCGTAAAAGAAATCACTTTTTGGGATTACGTATCGCTAATACGTACTCCTAATACGTAAAGCTCGTACGTTAATAATTGTTTAGTTTTATTTTCCCAAAGACCTAGACCCTTTAAAACTTCCAGAAAAAATTCTCAAAATTATATAGTGGAACCCGTATCGAAATTCGTTACAGCGTAGATATTAGAAGAACCATGCGCACAGGCAGACATATGCTGATTTCGACTGTTTTATACTATTTAAAGATTTAGGAGGGTGAGATAAAAGAAAAAAGGGTGCGGCCACTGTTGTAGGGGCTACATGTAAACTCCTATTAAAATTACCTTATTTACCTAAATTAAAAAAAACATAATGTAAACTCCTGCATAGTCTCATTTTTACATGCTTAAAATATATGGTGAAATCTCCTGCACGGGCCTTTTTACATTTTTAAGTTTGGGTCAGATAATGGATTATTTCACATATTACAACACTTCTTACATACTACGGTAGATACTTTTAGTGTGTATACATTGTATGTTTTCATTATTTTAGAGATAATACATTAAAATCATCAAATAATCACAAAAATAAAATTTAGTAAACATATTGATTTTATCGTATCGCATCGTATCGAAAATTCTCGAAAATTTCGATAACGCTATTTCCGTGTATCGAAATACAACAATATCTTCCTCTTTTTTCTGCCATTCAGAGATAAAAGGCTTATAGCATCCATACCAGTAATCGCAGAACAAATTGAGTAACTGTATTATTTCTGAATACTAATATTACTTATTTAAAAAAGTCTATCTAGATAACACTATCTTTTATTGGAGTTTTGGCAGACTGACAATTTGATTAGTGGAAGCTGGGTCCACGCTGTGATGTATCGAATACATCCGAGAAACTGGAAGAAATTTCGGAAAGCTCATAGCCGTTACCGCGGAGTATAGGATTCTTAATCCATAAAAGTGCCACTGCTGTAGGTGGGTAGTGGGAAAGGTAGGATACATAAAGTTGTTTAGTTTATACCCGTAACCAACCTCCACCCGGGTTTTAAAAAAATTGAAAAATTCACACGGACCAGAGAAACTAGATTTGTTCCGTATAATTTTTTAATCAAACGATTTTCGTCAAAATTTGATAATTATAATTCCTTTGTAAAAAAAAAAAATAATACTACATAAAGCTCAATTTTTTTTAACCAAAAAATACGATACTTAATGAACCTCCTGTTAATTTTTTAAGCATTAAGCAAACATTTTATGTGCAGAGTATCTACCGAATAAAAGTGTTGAGCTAAATAAAATAAATATAATACTATGATACAATATGATATAATATGAGATAAGTATCTATTGTACTATCGTGTATTGATTTGTATTATATTATATAATATTTATAGTAATTATATTATATTATTATGTAAGTTTATGTTAATTGTTTTCATATTTTTAAGGAGGCACCTAATGTCCCTTGTTGGTCATTTATTAGGCAATGAAAGATTCATTATTGAAAATCGGATTTCATTATTTCAGTTGTGTTTATTTAATGTGCAAGTTGTAAAAAATTTTATTGGGAAATGTCGAATATGTTGGGGTATGTGGGGGGACAACCCATTCCCTATCGTATCCTTGATTATCGTATCGTAAAATAATTTTGGCACTCCCGAGTTTTATGCTGAATGTGCGCCAATGCGGTGCGTCGTCATTATAATAATGGTGCGGTGTCTATAATACACGATTACCGTTCTACAGTCCGTTACAGTCCGACACTCGGCGATCACGTCGGGAAACCGGGACTCGGTTAAAATGTAAAATCCGGAGGAACGTTCTCCCGGAAATACGCGGTTTCCGACCGAACAATAATTTCCCGATTCGTGCGCCGGTCAGTATAATAGACGCGAATTATAGCGTTCGGTTTTCCGGCGAGACTCGAGGGGAAAGAGGATGGGAGAGGGGGGGGTATGGCGATGTACGGTTCCCCCGAGCCCGGTTCGGTAATAATATTAATAATGGTATAGGACGCGTATTATTAGGTACATAATATAGACGGTACACTATTACGTGGCTGGGAAAAAAAAAAAAACAAAACAAAAAACAAACGAAATACCGTTCGGACAACAGCAACGGCAACTACCACGGCGACAATGATAATTATATTGTTGCCGAGCGGCGATTAAAAAAAATAACCGACCGGACGATTTTGGCCGGACGACTGACGTGGCGCGCGTGCACACACGAAAAATCCGTTATGTTGGCCTACGGATATTATTATAATGAAATAATAATAGTATTACGACGCGGTCTCGTCGTCGTTTGTCGCCGGCGACAATAATAATAAATTGTGATAAAAAAAAAAAAAAAAAAAAAAACAACAATTTGATCATTGATTTATTTACCGGTATTCAAATTATACGATAAACCAATCGGACCGACGACGCCGGCGTATGGGGATTTTACGGACGCGAGGGCGTGAATAGTGTTTGGCGATTTCCCGGTATTTAAAACCTAGGGAATATTTCCGGAATTCATAAAAAATTCCCGAATAACGGGAATTTTCACTGTAAATTCTAGTATAGTCAAAGATTAAATTATTGTCAATCCAACACAAACAAAATAACATATCATTATTCTTATTTTACGATTAATATTCTGGTACCTGGTACCTGCTGAATAAAAAAATATCCGTGGAAAACGTTTAGTTTAGTTATTAGGAGAAAAAAAACCTATATGTTTGTACTGTAATCTAGACAGATCCTTTACTTAGTTAAGCATATCAAACAAAAGCAATACTTCTTTCATCGGTTTTAATAAGCTGTTAGATTAGTTAGAAAAAAAAAACAAACAAATACATATACTCCTTAAAAACTCTTTGATAACTAAAAATTATATTTAAACAGTGTATTATAAGTTATACAAGTGGTGTTTTCATTTGGTTTTTTGTATTTTCGACCGAGTTTTTATTACCTACGGTCCAAAACTCTAAATAACCCGATAAGCCAATATTTTTGTCCGACAAACTTGGCCAAAAAATATTTTTCAATGATAACGCATTAAGACCCATAATCGAAGGGTCCGTAGTATAGACGACCGTGTCCAGACTTAATTCGCTGGTCGGGCGCAAGCTAAATACTATTTAATGATGTTTAAAAATTATATTTTCAATAATGATAAAGTAAAACTGGTTAAGACCGAATAAGAAAGATCACAAAGTTTCAAAAAAAAAAAAAAAAGATTATTGCCTTAAAATAAAAAAAAATCAGATTTTTCTTTTTTTCTACTAGGGGTATAAACAATATTCCTTTTATTAGAAGGAATTATTATTTACGTGTTTAATATTTTTTATATTTATTCATTTATTTTACCGATAATACCTACATGAAATTGTATTAAATATATATAACTTGTAATATGTAAAATAATCGTATTATTTAATTCGATAGTTATAATATAAAATATTTGACCGACTGCGAATAATACTGTTATTAATTCTATTTAAAGTGTAAATACTTAAAACATTTGATGAAGTCACGATTTGTCTATAATGAGATTTTTTTTTTTTTTTTTTGATATCGAACATTTTATTTGTTAGGATACTATTAAAGATACTCACAATGGAGAGGCCGGGCTGTGTGACACGGTTGCTAGGTTGAATGGCCAATAAGTCAAACTGTCCAAACTTAGGAACAGAATATTGTTGAAATGATGACGCATTCAGGTTTACACTCGGCGGATCCGTATCATTTACGAGCGTTTCCAGACATATTCCGCTGGACGAGCACGTGCTAAATAATATTTAATAATGTTTAAATATTATATTTTCAAGAATGTTAAAGTAAAACTGGTTAAGACTAAATAAGAAAAATCACAACATTTCAACAAAAAAAAGATTAATACCGTATAATAAACAAAAATCACATTTTTCTTTTTTTCTTCTAAGAGTATAAAAAATATTCCTTTTATTAGAAGGAATTATTATTTACACGTTAAATATTTTCATTGGATAAAGAAATGTACACTAACAGATATTAATTAAATTATTTTTTGGATAATACCTACAAGAAATTGTTTTAAATACGTATTACATGTAATATACCCGAATAATCATATTATTTAATTCGATACTTATAACGTCTAATTGTTCAATGATACTTACGGATGTGAGGCTTGTAGGCCGTAGGCTGGTGACACCCGGCTGTAGGACGTAGAATTCGGATTATGCGATGGAGATACTGCTAATCCTGCACATTTCAGAAAACGTACCGAATGTATTCTGTTACGACAATTGTATTTAGTAACGTTGTGTACAATAGCGCACGAAAATAATAATGTAATAGAGAAGTGCAAAAACTTATTACTTAACTTAAAACTAATTTTTGTCTGCGGGCATTTGCGGTGTGGAGGTCCTAGGGCACAGAGGCCGTTTTCGATAACAATTGATCGAACGAGTATTCATGTATAAGCATCTGTATTTATTTACCTTTTTTTTATTCTTCCGGTATATTGTATTTAGAATTTTATATTCTGAACGAAGCGTGAAATCAACAACAGTGGTGGCTATCGTACAATAAGGCTCTACTTATGGTGGTAAAAAGAAGAGTCGAGTGTAATCAGGGATGGTCCGGGATAATATTCAGGCCGTGGCACAGTTTGTTTGGCCATAGCCAGGAGAGTCTGACAGTAACAAAAGGTAAGGAGGTTAAATACACGAAACTTTCCAGACGCGATATAATTTTCAAAATAGTCGGGCGATATTGAGTTTTGTATATAGCTGTGTGAAAATGTTTACAAAGTTTTTTTTTTTTTTTTTTTGTAGTAGATACAACGTATTGTATGTGATCCCCCCCTCCGGTGACATTTTCAAAACCTCGCGCCTCTGAATGCGCATACTCGCGAACTGATTGCTGTTTAAAGCTACTATTTTTCCATGTATATAAATAAATAAATTATAAAATATAATGATAAACCATTGCTAACGAAAAACGATTCTGAGCGAATTTCAGTTATACAATTTTATGTGCTTTGAAATACCGTCATTTTTTCACGATTTTCATCGGAATTTCATAATAAGTATAAAGAAACTACTCCATTATTTTCAACTTGTTTCTTCCCATCAAATACAATTTATAATTAACCTATTTCAAAATATTTAAACTCAATTTTCAAGCATTTCTGTTCGGTCCAAAAGTTTTAACGACACAATACTTACCAAATGTATATTAAAAATTCTAGAAAAAGTAAATGCCTACGAATAGCTAAATAACCGCTAAATGTTTGCCTTAAATCTGTTATTTTTTTTCCGATTTTTTTCAATCATAATGAAAACTCCCTAGACAATAAAAAAATAATAATTTAATTAATTATACATAGCGTTTCAAAAATCGACACGCTGTTCAACATTAATATTCGGTACTATATAATGACGTTCAATAATTGATTCCGTATATTACGCACTCTGGCCGCTTTACAGTCAGGCCACTGACATAAACGTTTAGGCCAGGTCACCGCGGGATTTTCGTCGCGAGCCGGTCCGCTCCCGAGTAGTTTTTTTGTCGTTTTCTCTCTCTCTCTCTCTCTCTCTCTCTCTCACTCACTCTCTTTCTGTATATCAACGATCGAGTACAGATTTCAACGGAAACCATAAATGTTACGGCCGTTTTTATTTTCGTCCGATTTCCGCGGCTGACGATGACGGAAACTGACAACCCCGGATCACGCAGCGTACGTCATCATTCGCGCGCCGCGCACGGGAATAAAAAGGGACCGCCCCGATGTGGGTCGTCGTGACGTCGTCGTCCGTGCACACGTATTTCCGAAATCGATGAGTCGACGCGCGACCGGCCGCAACGCCTCCTCCGACGACGCGTCGGTGTCCGTGCGCGGTGCACATGCGTTGGCGTGTACCTGCGTGCGTGTCTGTCGGTCGCGTCTTGTGACCTACTGCCGGTGCCCGCGACACGCGACGGCACGTGCGGTGCGCGCGTTCGTATACAGGGTGTCCGGCGGACATCGGACGCGCGCGCGGCGTGTGCACGTTCGACCGACCTTTCCCCTCCCCTCCTCCCCTCCCCGCCCAGTCGCGATACCACTGTGTACGATACGTTACAATACGGAGCCTCGCGCCACGCACACGATCCCCCCCATCACGAATCGGTTTTTTTTCCAAAACGGCCGTTTCGTCTGACGTACACGGGCATAGCGTGTACGGGCGGAAACGGAATTTCGGACGTCGCACATACTATAATATTACACCGACGGCGAACCGTCCGGAGAAACCGAAAAAAAAAAAAAAAGAAAAAAATCTCGAGAATATTAAACGTAACGCAAGTTATTGCATATTTCGTTAGATCACTGTGTGGACACCCTGTGTATGAGTGAGTTTTTTTTTTTTTTTTCATCGTGCATTCGCGAGATGGCGTCGGGCCGGTTCGTTATACGACGGGACGCGATCGGTTTTCGTTTTCCGCAAACATATAGTAATAAAACACAATAATTTCCCGTCTAGGATTTACGACGATGACGCGTGTTCCAATCATAATATTAGGCACCCACCTAATAGTATTTTATTGGCTAAATCATACGCAGAGTGGCCGTCAGCGATTGTGATTCCGTACAAATTATACGACCGTTTTCTAGTATATTGAATTTTATTTTTTTTCGCCACAATTAGCGGCGTATTTTTAAATGGTGGATCGAGGAAACGGTACCAAAACGAACGAGTAGACGGGCGTTAGTAGCAAATTCTCTCAATTTTCTCGCACGCTCCGGATATTTCGGCATTCCTTTCTCATTTTATTATTTTTTTTTTTTTTCAAATAAGATTTTTTTAAAATTGTAAAGTTGTAAATGTCAATTTTTTATGTCTGCAGAAAAAAAAGCTGTTCTAGCAAAATGAGGACGGGTGCAGCCACTGTTGTAGGTGGGAAGTTAGGAATGTAGGATACTGAAGGGAACTTAATGTATATCTATAAGTAAAGATAAACCATTGCTAACGAAAAGAAGATTCTCAGCGGAGTTCAGTTGATAGTGATACTTTGTCAACAATATGTATGTCACATTATGGTAAAACAATTATATATTATTATATATTATACATCATACAGAGTGATTCACTAGGCGTGCTCACCCCATTTGTTTGGTTAAATTTTTCACGTATTCAAATTTTGATTTTAAGAATTTTTAAGTGTAGTCAAAACCGATTTTTTCGTATACTTAGATTTTCCACAACATTTAAGGACATGATACATGTGGTGATACCGACTTTGGTTTTTCAAATGAAAACCTATATTAAAAATTCTATAAATAGATGGAGTATTAATTTAAATAGATTTTGATTTCAACATTTTTGAATTCCGTCAAACCGTTGACGAGATATTTAACATTCGAGTTAAGTTAGGGTTAGAGTATAGTGGGTATCATTTTGTGGTGGTACGGCGCTCGGCGGCGTTTCAATAGTGATAGCTGAGGTTAAGGGGAAATTATCCGTGCCCTTTTGTTCCAAAAATCCAAAAAGACGATTTAGCTAGGGACAGGGGCGGCTCCAGAGACTTGGTTGGGGTGAGGGCTAAATCATGTTTTTCAAAAACTGTTTAACAAAAATCATATTTTATATTTTATAGTTTATACTTCATAACTTCATAGAATAGACAGTGGATACCTCTAACTACACACTTGTATGTGTCAGTAATAGTCGATAGTATAATATATTGTATGATCCTAAGTGTAGCGAGGAATATATTGGTTTTACAAAGATGTTTTTCTCGGAAGTTTTCACGTCAAATATGAAGATTTATTTTTTCTGTGGACCACTTTTCTATCAGAAATTTTGCTCCGATTTACAATGATTCGCACTTTTTCTGAAACTAAACCTGACCAGAAAAGTACTTCAGGGAGGTCATTTTTCGATTTTTTCAAGAGTTTTCCCAGAAAATATGAAAAACCCGGAAAAACCGGTACAATATTAAACAAATATTATTATAGAAAATAATATATACTCGTAATGCCAATTTAATTATTTTATCATAATATGACATATATATATTGTTGAAAAAACATCACTATCAACTGAACTTCGCTCAGAATCGTTTACCCGTTAGGAATGGTTTATCGTTGCATACAGATATACATTAAATTCCCTTCTGTGTCCTACCTTCCCAACTTCCCACCTACAACAGTGGCCGCACCCGTCTCCATTATCCTAGGACAGCTTTTTGTTTTGTTAAGTTGTTTGTAACAAAAAATACAAGCTATGTGGGGCCACGGTACCTATGCCCACCTGGAGCCACCCTCGATTAAATATTAAAGGTGGATCCAGGGGGCAACAAGGTAATTTTATTTGTCAAGGTCTTATAATTTAATGTTTTTTTGCACTATATTTGTACTTTTGTCCCGCCTCCCCCCCAAATTTGAACTATGTATGTAACACCCCAGTTAAATATTAGTGCCCGTTCACTACTCATTTAGAAAAAACATGTGATAATATTGTGATTATACTGAGAATATCGGCAAATATCAGTGGTCGGGTAATACCGAGTCGAAAATTACCTACAGATTGCTTCTGGATCATTGGATTGTTTTGGATTCGTTTTGAACGCACGCATTCGCGTTCGATCCGACCGTTCACGTTGGGCCGTTCGATAGTTTTTTTTGTGTTCGGTGCGAGTTGCCTAAACGCACCTTAATGCACCGCACGTATATTATTATATTATTCGTGTGTGTTACGATAATATTGGCCGCACACCATACACACACACACACACACACACAATCACGGTAACCGGTTAAATCATTTTTGATTATTGTAAATTTTTATTATTATTATCATTATTATTGTTATTTCCGAGAGCGCAAACAGACGGACAACGTGCGAATATAAATAACAATTCTGTTCGTATAATTTTAGGATCTTCGATCACGTAAGCGCCGAACGTGATCGACAGCGTTCATATAACGTACAGGACGGATTGAATGACGTGTTTAGGATTTTGCCGAGGAGGGTGATGTTTAATTTGCAAATTATGTCGTACTGCACCATGTAAATGTGTACCAAGGCTAAAAAAAAAAAGAGATCAATTTTTTTTTTTTTTTTTTTTTTGGAAATAATTCATAATTCAATGTGCCCTAAAATTATCATTTAAATCAATTAACCAACTGTTGGTATAGGTAAGTAATTATTTACTTTATTTACTATTTAGGTATTATTCTAACCTCCTTCATAAAATAATAGTTCAGATATGTTTCGGATTAGGTATAACAAATGAAGATCCTACGATACACACATTCATGAATCACGTTTATTATTTAGTTAACATCTCTTCCCATTGAAAATTCCCGGGCACGCCGATGCCGTCGACACGCTCAGAATATCTAAAAGTTTTCGCTTCTAGAAATTAACAGTTGTTTAACGAAAGTTTCGTTCTTTCTTCGTTGCACGCGATAGTTTAATAACGCAGTTGATGTTATGACTGTGGATTATTCACTCGGGTGAGTATTTAATAATAATTGTGAGAAAAGCGAACAAACGAATATAAATAATGAGAATATATCTGCAAAAACGAGCGTCTCGCGGTCGAAAAACTCAACAACGATTCGCTGATGATGTCTGTGTGTAATGACGTCCGTCATTATTATTAATGCAATATTATTGTACTCGCCGATTCTTGGTAGTATAAAAAAACTTAGCGGGTCCCTACGCGTGCAGGCTATAAAGAAAAGAAAATAATATTATCCGCGTTTTGTTTTTTATCGCGCATTTAATATTATTGTTATCTTTGTATACTGCGCCATTATAATATTATGTACACGTTCGCGATCAAATGTCCAAAACGGAATTTCTCATCTTCGATTACTCAATCCACGTGCAAAATAATAATAATAATAATAATAACAACGACAACAATAATTTTAACAATCTGGCTCGTTTTCAATACCACACGTGGTTGTTTACAATGCGAAATCAATACGCCTATGTTAAAGAAGTAGGTTTAGTGCCTATATAATACGGGTTTTTTTTTTTTTTTTTCTCAAAGCGAATACCTACTCGTAAATAAATAACGTAACAGAGTGTATTATAATACGTCTACACACTACAGATGTCTGGGCGTGTTAAGGCAGAAAAAATCAAATTAGGGGCGCGCTCATTTATGGTATGGTTGCAAACGGATCTGTAAACGAGCGCTGAAAATAAAAACGTACTTTTACGCGCGTGTACGATCGGCTGTTGAATTTTTACGTTTAGCCAAATCAGCACAACTTATAGTTGATCCCGTGTTAAATTTCCAAGCATCTCTGTTTGATGAAACAATTATTATAGCAGCTCTAACAGAGAAAATCTAAGTAAAATATTCGCAGACATGTAATGGCAATAAATAGCTCAGAAAATCGTCAACATTTTTTTTTTTGGTCCTTTTGGAGTATACTATTTTTAAAACAACTGACAAAGTATTCAATATAAAAAAAAAAAAAAAAAAAACAACACACGCGTATTATTATTAAAATTGATTACCTCTTCCGCTATACTCAGAATCTATACAACATAGATCTGCATGGAATACGCTGCAAGGGCGCCTCCGCACGATGTTTACCGAATAAATTATCTGACCCCCCCCCCCCCCCCCCTCTCATCCGCAAAACAAATAACTTTCAGAACATCGTTTCTGTTATGAATGTAGATTGTACCTTATCAAATTTATATTATCTATGTAACATTGTAATAATATGTGATGAGATTATGATAGTAGATTATGTAATGTGTGTTATACCGACACAGTCAGTATTCACTATATAAATACCGACACAGTCAG